TGTATGAATGTGTGTGTGTAGTAGAGTGCTGTAGGAATGTGTGTGTGTAGTAGAGTGCTGTATGAATGTGTGTAGTAGAGTGCTGCATGAATGTGTGTAGTAGAGTGCTGTATGAATGTGTGTGTGTGTGGTAGAGTGCTGTATGAATGTGTGTGTGTGTGTGTAGTAGAGTGCTGTATGAATGTGTGTGTGTAGTAGAGTGCTGCATGAATGTGGAATGAAGTGCAATCCTTCAAAATGTACAGATACGGCTGCGCACCTCCACCTGTCTGCTGCAGACCACGCAGTTGAACTGCTTTGTTCTTCACCAAATACAAGGTTTGGGTCAGGACTTGGTCCAAAGCAGAAAGAAATCCTGGCTTGCACGGAGCCATCAGCAGAGGGCAGTACACACACTGTGTGTACTCCGTGTATTACAGCAGGTATTTCAGGTTTTTGACTAGAAGAAACTGTTGGTGCTGTGTAACAGAAAGAACTGACATCACAAGACTCATGAAACCTCAGTCAGTGTCCAACAGGAACATGGAAACAGCCTTCTGACAACACCTACATCAGTGTTCGGTGTATACAGGCCGGTGTCACTGAGCCACCACGACTCATTTAAACAGGGACCTGTTCCTCAAGCTTAAATGGTAAATGGACTGGACTTATCCAGCACCTTTCTATCTTATCAAGACACTCAGAGCAGTTGATAGTACAGTCTGTGCCTCATTCTACTAGATCTTTTTACACAGATGACCTGTAGCAGGCATGTGGCTGCTGCTGGAATCAAACACCCACCGCACTGAGGCCGGCTGCTCCAACCACTCAGCCACAGCCCAAAACAACGGAGTCAGAAGTGAGGAAGTAAAGTTTCAGACGCCCCGGAGCAGACGAGCACCGACGTCCTCTGACCACTTACCAGAGACTCACCCGTGTGACAACCATCTGAGGACCTGCACTGCAGTCAGAGCACGTGTAAAGTGAAAGTTGCCCGTGTCCTTCTGTGAAATGAGTGTTTAACCAACCTGATGATGGGTTTGAAGAGGATGAACAGAGTCTTGAAGAACATGGTCGGATGGACGATGTACAAAGCCTTCATGTTCTTTTTGTACCTGCAGACAGACGACACTCAGGGTGAACACGGACTGGTGGTGAAGACCAGCTGCCAGTCTGTCCAACAGCTTTTCAGCCACTTGTCAGCAGACCCTGCAGTCTGACAGTAAACCTGCAGTTCACTCTGCTGCGTCCAGCGGGTCTGTGACACAACTGGATTCGTTGCAGATGGAGGGACCGATCATTGTCCCAGCCTGCTGAACGTTTCACCAACAGAAAATTAGCAGTTAGCTTGTTGAGTGGGAGCAGCTGGTGTAGAAGACCCGGGGGAACAGCTGGTTCCTGAGTTCATGCGATACACTAAGATGTGAACGAGGTTCGTCTGCGGTTGAACTTACTTTCTGTCAAACTCCCGGTACGCGTCTCGAAGCCAACCCAGAGATAGTTTGTTCTCACTGGTCAGCCCATGATGGAAATAAATCAGAGTGTAGTCACTCTCTACGTACTGGTCCAGGGTTCCTTTAAGGTACCTGCAGAGGACAAAGTTGTCACAAATAAAGTGAACAAGTCCAAATCACTCTCACACAGTCACAACTAGGGTTGGGTAATGGGTTTAACGTCATCCATCTTTGGTCCAGCAGCTAATGGTTGAAATACCACCTGAGTCAAAGTGGTTTTTGGTGGTGGATGGACCAGGCAGAGGTCAGAGGTGAGGAGGGATGCACCAGACAAACTACCGGCCAGTAGCCCTCACCCTGATAGTCACTAAATGTTTTGAAAAACTGGTCGTGACCCACATCAAAGCAACCATTGACATCAGCGAGGACCCTCACCAGTACGCTTACTGCGAGAATCGATCAACAGAGGACGCCATCTCCTCTGTGGTCCACTCTGCTCTCACCCACCTGGAGCAGAAGGACTCCTACGTCCGTATGCTCTTTGTGGACTTCATTTCTGCCTTCAACACCATGATCCCCCAAACCCTGATGGACAAACTATCCACACTAGGACTAAGCCCCTCCATTAGCAACTGTGTACTAGACTTCTTAACAAACAGACCACAGTCAGTGAGAATCCACGACTTCTCCTCCTCCACCATAACCCTCAGCACTGGCTCCCCTCAGGGCTGTGTGTTGAGCCCCCTCCTGTTCACTTTGCCCACATATGACTGTGCAACTACCCATCCATGCTGCCATATTGGAACGTTGCAGACAATACAGCGGTGGTGAAACTTCCATATCAACGTGAAGAAGACAAAGGAGATGATTGTGGAATTCAGAAGGAGCAAACACACCTACCCCACCCCACCCTGAACATAAGAGGATCTGCGGTGGAAGTGGTCTCCAGCTACAAGTACTTGGGTGTGTGGCATGGAGGCTGCACAGCTGCAGAAAGAAAAGCTTTGCAGAGAGTGGTGAAGGCTGCACAGAAGATGTTGGAGTCAGCCTCCCCACCATCACAGACATCTACACCTCCAGATGCAGGAAGAGGGCCACCTGCATCATGAAGGACCCCACTCCCCTCAGGAAGGAGGTTGAGGAGCATTAAGTGTAGAACCACTAGACTGAGGAACAGCTTCTACCCTCAGGCTGTTAGACTCATGAATCTCTAACCAGGAACACTTTAATTGGTGATATGTGACTTATTTGTGCTGCTGATTATGTCATGCTGCTGATTATGTCATGCTGCTGTATTCATTCATACCCATCTGCTCACCACAGACTCATGTTCAGGCTGCTGTTTATAAACTGTATTATTTTACATGATTAGTGTTTAGTGTACATCTTAGATCCTTACATACCGTTTCTTTATATACTTTATATTTTTGGTGTAACTGGGACCTTGAGTACACACTTTCGTTCCACCTCATGTACCACATGTGATGTGAATGACAATAAAGACCCTTGAACCTTGAAGAGACAGGGGCAGGGCGTTCCACAGCCGGGGGACCACGGCCTGAAAGGAAAGGTCACCCTGAGTTTTAAACCGGGTCTTAGGGACCTTTAGGAGGTTCAGCGCTGAAGACCGAAGGGTGCAGGCTGGAGGATAAGGGATCAACATTTCAGTGATGTACTGGGGGGCCTGTCCATTTAAAACTCTAAAAGTCAAGACCAACAATTCTAAATTCAACAGGCAGCCAACGAAGGGAAGATAGAGCTGGTGTAACGTGAGACCTTCTATTAGTTCCTGTTAAAAGCCTCACAGCAGCGTTCTGGACACACTGCAGACGAGCGACAGCAGATTTGTAAGAACAAGTAAAACTGGAATGACAATTATCTAACGGAGAAGAGATAAAAACATGAATAATCATGTCCAGGTCAGATCTGGATAACATCGTCCTCAGTTTAGAAATGTTTCTCAGATGATAAAAGCAGTTTTTGACTGTTTGTCCAAGGACACTGACTGGTCACCAAGGTTTCTGAGGCTCGGCTGAGAAGAGGAGCCCAGAGAACCGAGGTGTTGCTTGATCCAAGGATCTTTCTGTTCAGGAACAATGATCAGAGCTTGAGTCGTGTCAGAATTTAACTGAATAATTCTGCGTCCTGGAGGGAACAGCACAATAGAATGTCATCAGCACAGAGATGGTGGATGAGGTACACCAGGCGTGAGATGTTCAGGTGGTACTCCATCGTGTTTACGCAGTAAATGACAAAAAGGAAAAGATGTGACCTGTTGGATCTTACATGAGCAGCTTGTAGTGGTCCAGCTGGTGCTGCGGGGGCATCCTGCAGGCGTTAAACACGATCACCTTCCTGCCGAAGTTGTCGTCCCCTACAGACAGGAGCTCCACGTCAGACACGTCTTACTTTGACAACAAACAGGACGTCTTCACAGAGAACTGACCCGCCACTTCAATGATCTGATGCCTCGCGATGTCGTAGAAGGGGTGGTCCCAGGGCAGGTGGGGGGAGCCGGCATCGAAGTCCTGGGAGATGTCTGAAACACACAGGAGGAAGCACAGGTTCACGACGGTTACCACGTGTTGTCTTCATGTCAGAGAGGACGTGCGTGCTGCGAGACACCTACCCGACTTGGTGAGAGCAGAGTCGTCAGCAGGCCACTGCTGGTCCTCGATGGTGGCCAGCTTCAGCTGGCCTAACTGTGCAGTGGCAGGGTCTTCACCCAGATCAACCAGCAGGTCTGAAGACATGTCGCAACTGTCTCACACACACAAAGAATAGTTCAGGGTGCGCCAGCTGTTGGACACTGGTAACACAACACATCTGGATCCAACGGGGCTGGAACAGGACCGGCAGAAAGACCAGAAGTCTCTGGACCTGCAGGACTTCAGACAGCATCACACCGACCCTGGACGTGTCAGAAATATACATACGCCTCCAGTCGATCACGTCGGAACTTTCATCGGACGCCGTTTCAGAACAGACGGGCTTTTGTGACGACACCAGCTTCTTAACTGGAAGCAAAGTTGAGCTTTTAGCACAAACAAGAGGTCATCTGGACCGATTCTTCTGGGGAGAAACGTTTGGTCTTTCATCCGAATGACGTCATGAGTCTGAGGCCTGCCAACAGCTCTGTCGTATAAACAGCACCTTTACAAAGTGGTTGAAGCCGGCCTGCAGAGGAACTCCAGAAACTATTCACGAGTAAAAACCATGGGTCCAACAACCGATCAACGGTGCAGAACAATCCATCGCTAAACGCGGATGGCCACTGGCTATTCACCGATACAGCTTGAGGACAAACTGGACCCAAACGTCTGTCCAGATGACCTGTTGAACCGTTGAATGGCTGTGTACCAACTAGACTGGTTCTAGACTGGTGTCTGTGGTTGTCTACATTTCCACTGGAATCCCACAAAGATCAGCACAATGGTCCAACATGTGATCAAATATCTGCAGACAGTTTAGTGTCCATCTCCAGATGCGTGTGGACGATCAGACCGAGTCAGAATCCTCGACCAAAGACAGGAAGTGAGTTCCAGCTGCAGTCACTCTCTATCTGCTGGCGTGGCACATTTCATTGTTCCGTGCTTCCTACATGCCAACGAGGAAACAACCTGTTTAAACAGGCAGAGTCCAACTTCTGTTTCAGAAAGAGGACTTCAGTGAAACCTGAGAAGTTATCTGAAGACGGTGAGTCCAGAGCCGATCAGCTGGACGGATGGTCCTTGTTGCACGTGTAAAGTCAGAAGCACATCAAGGAGGTGCTAGTTATAGAACAGATCCTGTTGGCAGGCCTCAGACTGATGAAGTCTTTCACATGAAAGATGAAACACTTCTCATAAAAACAAACTTGTCCAGATGACCTGATTTAACCTTTTGTATACCCGCTAATGATGTCCTGCTTTGGAGAAACCAACAGCAGCTACAGCCGCTCTGAGCCGCGGAGCGTCTGATGCCGCAGCCTGCATGCATGTGGAACAGCTAAATGTTTATTGAGCCCATTACAATTAAGTTTTTACTCTTTATATCCAAACTAAAACACTTTTGTCAGACGGGATGAGAAACACCGCAGCGATGTTCAGCCAGGAAACACGTACGTCTTCTGGGGTGAGTTGAACGCTAGATTTTTACAGACACTCTCAAATGTAAAGCACCACGGAGTGGGCTAACATAAAACTATAAACATTAGAGGCATTATTTTGTGATATAAAGATGGGATCAGAAACTGCATTTATAATGGGATTTCCCTGTGGTTTGATGGGATCAGAAACTGCATTTATAATGGGATTTCCCTGTGGTTTGA